GGGAAGACGAGATAAAGCCACTACAAAAAAAAAGGGCCATAGGAGACAAAAACAAAAAAAGGGAACCACAAAACAAAAAATGGAAAATACATAAAAGGAGCGGGTGTAGGTTTGTGGCTTTATCTAGTGATTAACATGCATGTAATAAATTTTATTTGATTTTTGATTTTCATTTCACGAACGTTGGCTAACGTGTTGTGGGAAACTAGTGAGCAAACAACCACTACACATTTGTATTTTGTCATTTCGCCACAGGAGAAAGGTTCAAGGTGAAAAATATATTTTATTATGGTTTTTTTGATTTAATTATTATCTTTCGTTGATTGAAATTCTGTTAAACTTTCTATGAAATGAGTGGAGGTTCGAGATTTCAGGACACTTACATCTCAATCTTTCAGTTCAATTCAATCCCGCCTGCACCAAGAATAGTTTGTTTATTTTAACAAAAACCCAAATTTTTAAAAAAAAAAAACAAAATCGCACTGGTAAGGACTGCGTGTCATATTTTTGGTAGATAAGCTCGTGGGGTGTGTTGTTTGAATTTGTGTTTATTGGAGTTGTGGTGCGAAGGACCCACACACACGGAGACACGAAAGATGCATCGATTAGAATTTCCGCAGTACCGTAGTGTCCGGCAGGCAGAAGAAACACAAGGACAAAAATATAAAAAGAAAAGGTTAATATTCATACATCTATATTTATACAATAAGTAAAATATATGCAAACAGAAAAATAGATGGTAAACGAACAATGCAAAAATAGAATTTGACAAATAAAATAGTCCAAAAAACAAAATAACTATTGGCTGGAGAAGTATGCGCGCGAGAGCCGGGAGACGTAGGCTGGCCTCCCTCCAATCTGCGCGCGAACCACCTCATTCATTGATGGCCAAGTATTCCTTTTCTCAATATCTTCGTTTATATTTTATTGTACCTTTCCTTTTCTCTCTGAAATATTATGCCTCCATGCATCTTTCTATATAATATTTTCTGGTTTTTCTAAAACTTCTAATTTTCATAAGCCCACAAACACTACATAAATATCATAAAAAAACAAAAAACAACTAGCAACACCTAAGACAAATCCCTACCTATTCTATTCCTTTTATGCTGTTGTATTGTGCTATGGCTGCTTCGACTTGTGCAATATTTTTCAATTGGCAAATAGACCATAATACATAGGACAGAACAATTGTTGTTTCGTTTAAATTCAGCATAAAGAGAATATCAATAGAACATCGAACAAGCATGGTAAAATAACATACTACCACAGATACATACTTACACTCTTTAGCGGATCACCCTAATTATAAAACAAGAACAACACACATTATGATAAAACAACTATATTTTATTTTTCGCGGGAATCTCAGAAATCTGAGAACAGCGTACCTTATGGATTAAACTGTGAATAGTAAATACAAACTCTAGATGCCTTACACACTAAACCTAACACCCCCCTTTCTCTATAAATAACAGATATCATGTACATGTCTTACGCAATCAACTTCTTTTTCTGCGACTCTACATTCACCTCATGCTAAAATTAGCACAAATAGGTGGTACGTATTTTTTTTCCTCTTTCTTTTAATCTTTTTACCACCACAAGACCGGCTCACCTCACCGCGCACTAACGCTTCGCGGGTCGCCCGAACCAGTATTTCTTCAAAGGAGCATCACAGCAGGCGACGCCGCGGGCAGGGAGAGATTTGTGGGGTACGGAGACCCTTGGGGGGGGGGGGGGGGATCACACCAGTACGCAAACCAAAAAGGGAACAAAACTCCCTTTCTCCGCCCTTTCTATGAAAAAAAAACATCGCTAAGACCGAATCTCTAAGGACAGATTGCTTTCTTAAAACAAGACCAACGCCTCATTTAATTCGCCAGAACTCTTGTTCCTTCGCCCAGCCAAGCTGCCAGGTAGGTACATTATCCAATGTTTGCTTACTGCTTTATCTTTTGTATATCAATAACCAACCTGTTAATTTTTCACATTTCGTATATTTGTATTTTGTTTTTAGCTCTGAGGATTGATCTGCTACGCGTTCCTCGAAAAAAAAATATTTTTTTTGGAATTTTTCTATTTTTTTAGTTTTTTTTTTTTGAAAATTAAAATATTTGGGGGGGATACCCTGACAATATCTTCTATTTTATTTATCAAAATAAAAAGGTATCTACTTCACCAACAATTCAATTAAA